ACTTACGTACTACGTAACTACGTACTAACGTACTAACGTAACTAACTACTAACGTACGTAACTAACGTAACGTACGTAACGTAACGTAATAACTACTACTACTCTCTCTCTCTCTCTCTCTCTCTCTCTCTCTCTACTATATATATATATATATATATATATATATATATATACACGCACACACATGCATACGCATTGGGTTTCAAAGAAAACAATACCGGCTGAGACGCCTGAACACTGGTTGACCCTTCAAAATCTGTGGTGGTATCAACTGGGCGAGCAGGATAGTTAACGGCCTTCTCTCCAGGTTGGCTTGGTACTAGGGCACTGAGCATTGATGCCACATATTACCTGGTCATATAAAGGAAAATATGGCGCAATGCATGCTTCATACACCATGATAAAGTGCTACCCAAGAAAAGCTAATAATGATATGCAAAGCATGCATATTACATGATTCCAGATTTTAGTAATGCCTAAATGCAATGGATATTCCTAACAATGAATGTCAATAAACTTACTTGCGTCCTGGTGGAGGTTCGATCCGAAAATACCTGAAAATGCAAAATGAAAATGTGGGAAATGATTTACGCAAAAATAAAGCACAACTGCCTGGATGCGAACAGCACAGCTACATTCAAATATTTTATTAAACAAATTCAACAACTACAAAATCCAACATCAGCAATGAGCTTCTCACTATCATGCCTTACTGATGTCAATAACAAGGTCTACACTAATAAAGATGGGAAGAAGGGTGAAACTAAGGAAGAGAATAGATGAAAGGAAGGAAGAACGCAAATGAAAGCACTGTGAAGCTTTTGTCAAGACTTGCATCTTCTAGATGCCTGGCAGTTTCTCTCCAATAGGGACTTCTAACCAACAGGGGATGTCTAGGAAGGCTTTTGGATTCAAAGGAGTTACCACATAGAATGCCAGTCAAGGATGCACCAGGGTGGTTTTATAACCAAGAGGTGGTCTTCCATTCTGACAAGCAGCTGTCAGGGATCTGCTTCACTCAGAGAGGCACAAGTTTTGTTATCCTAGTTGAGCTAGGAAAGAAGCTTATTGAAGAGAAAATCTCAAATTTCACTCTTGCATTCATCTTTGCTGTGTTACATATTTATAGACTCACAAGACCCATAAGTCACCCTTACAAATCCATGGGCTGTGTTTTACAAAACCATGGGCCTGATATAGACACGTTACTTCAACTTTACATAAAGATACATTACCTTTTACTTTTCACCTCAATTGTCCAGACCAATGTTGAAAAATGGCCTCCTAGGCACTCAGGCCCTAGAAGCATCGCCCAGGGCCAGTTGGGCGGGTTGGAGGGACATGCCACAAGGCGGGCACTTAGGCACCCAGGTAAGAGTGGTGACAGGCAGGGCCTGGGACAGGCCAGCCCTGGCATGGCCCGGCCCGACCCACCCCTTGTCCCCTTAGGGCTGACCCATGCCCAGCTGGACCCTAACAGGGCCAGGAGCAGGGCCAAGCCAGGCCGGGCTAGTCCTGACCCAGCCCAATCCTCAAGCCCTATTTTGTGGCCCAGGCCCTATCTGCCCAGTCGATTGCCAGCCCCATGCCCAGGTGCACCTATCTATGCGGCCCATGACAAATTATGGAGAAAGGGGCAAAAATGCCCCTCAAGTAGGGGCATTTTCAGTCTTTTTACCCTCTTTTCTTTGTATTAAGACAATGGGGGGGGGGGGTCATTTTAAACCCCCAAACGAGGTCATTTTAAACCCCCAAACCTTTGAAAATGCAATGACAATAGGTCTACATCATGGATCAGTATTGAGCCCATACTTCTTTGTCTTAATTATGGACGACTCAGCGCCTACAAGATGAGGTTCCGCTGTGAAAGTTGTTCGTGGATGACATAGTTTTGATTGATGAGACCTGAAACGACGTCAACACAAAGGTAGAACTTTGGAGGGATGCTCTAGAATCCAAAGGTTCGAAAATTATCCGGACTAAGACAAAGCATATAGGATGCAAGTTTAGTAATAATAGAAATAAAGGCGAGAAAGTAGTTAAGATTGACGGCCAAGAAATACTAAAAACAACACACTTTCGCCGTCAGAGGTCGATAATCTAGGAAACTTGAGAGATTGAGGAAGATTTCACACATAGAATCAGAGCTGGGTGGGAAAAGCGGAGATGTGCACCCGGAGTTTTATGATCGCTTCATACCAATGAAGCTGAATGGGAAGTTTTATAGGATAGATGCGAAACTAGCTTTGCTTTATGAGGTGGAATGTTCAGCAGTCAAGAAACAGTATACCCATAGGATGAGTGTTGCTGAGATGAGGATGTTGAGATGGATGAGTGGCAACACAAGAAGGGATAGAATTCGAAATGAATACATTTGGGAGAACTTAAGTGTGGCTCCAAGAAGCAATAAGATGAGATAAACTAGATTTATGTGGGCTGACAATGTGCAGACCCAGTATGGCACCTATTAGGAGGTGCGAGTCGGTTCAAGTGGAAGGCTCAAAAAGGGTAAAAAGTAGGCACAAAAGGACATAATTGGAAGTAGTGAGAAAAGACATGGGGGCTTATGGCCACACTAAGGGTATGGTCCTTGATAGAGCAGAATGGCAGACTAGGATTCATGTACCCGACCCTAAATAGTTGAGAAAAAGCTCTGATGATGATGATGATGTGTTTGTTTTTAAGACTATCCCAGAGTTTGGGGTCAAATAAAAATCCCAATTGGATGATCTTATTAAGGGTGTATGCTACTCTCTCTCTCTCTC